CGGGCTCAGGCAGCACCCAAAGTCCCCCCCGGGGCGCACAGCCTTCCCCCCGCCAGCCCCGGGAAGCAAACCAGGCTGCCCGGAGGGGTGCGAAAGGGTGGGAAGGGAGAGGAAAGCTGTTACTGTGGCTCGCAGGAAACCCACAGCTCTGCCTCTGGCCTACAAGGCCCATGTCACCCCCACCCCCCTGCTAGAGCAGCGCTGGGCTACCTACAGCGCCAGCGTGCGACCCCCAGGGAGAGAGTTCAGTTCTGAGGTCACTCCTGCTTTACCAGGGCTGCAACAGCAACAGTTATTTATACACAGTTTCATACATGTAAGGGAGAACAAATGTAGCTCAGACACAGGTGACAGTGTTGTTTTCCCGGGACAGCGAGTGTCGAGTACCTGCCACGATTGCTACAGCCGGTGATTGACACCCTGGGAAGATTCCCAAGGCACACTGTTGCTGCTGTAGGGTTACACATTTTCTCCAGGAGCCAACCTGGCAGCAGAGGGTGGATTTTTCCCCTTTCTAGTTCAGCCAGTGAGTCTCCCTTGAGTTCTTTCTGGTTTCGGAGCCATCATTTCTCCAAGTCTTAGGGACAGGGTTTTTTTAAGTCAAATTCTTCTCAGCCCCTCTTCCCCTCACAGGGTGCAAAAGCCACTACTACAAGTGAACAGAGCCATTCTGTACCCCTTCATACCCCCTGGGAGGTTACAACCCTGCTTCAGAGGCTTTAAGCAGCCACATTAATTACCTAAAGCAGATAACGAGAAGCTCCCCCAGTGCTCACCTTCCTTAAAGGCCCAGCTGTCTTACCCCAAGGCCCAAGATTCAGGTTAGATTTTAGCATTTCTCCTCCCTAGTCTACTCCAATCTCTACAACAGCTGAAGTACGTAACTGTTGGGGGCAGAAAGAAATAAAACTCAGCTGCAGTCCTTTGTGAAAACTGATGCTCTGAGGAGGCCCATGAACAGTGTGACCTTGACACCAGCTCTTCTTTGTGAAAGAAGAAAACTCAGCTGACAGGACAGCAGTACCCTTGTGTGCTTCCTGGTTATGTAGTTAAGCAAACACCACTAATACCCTTCTAAGCACTCACCT